TTTGGAGTGTTTTTGCAAGGAAGAGTGGGCAAATATTGCCAAATCAAGATGTGCCATTCTGATAGACTCATACCCAAAAAGACTGAGTGCTGAAAAAAAAAATCAAAAGATGCTTCAACAAAGTATTAGTTTAAGGGTGTGCACACTTATGCAACCATATTATTTTAGTTGTTTATTTTTACTTCCCTCCAGATTTCAGTTTGTTGTTCAATTGAGTTGTACAGTTTATAGGTTACATTAAAGCTGGAAAAAGTTCTGAAATTATTTATCTTTGCCTCATTTTTTTTTACATCACAGAACCTGACATTTTATCAGGGGTGTGTAGCCTTTTTATATCCACTGTATGACATCATTTTGGCCTAGGCCACAAACCAGGAAGCAACTGAAGAAATGTTAAAATAAAAACAATTTTTTTTTTTTTCATTTTAATGCATTCTCTGCATTAAGATGACAAAAAAACTACCACTAGCTGTTCCTTCCTCCCCATCCAGACACCTACCTTAGTCCTCTATAGATCCAGCGCTGACCTGTCTGCAGCTCTTCTCTTCCCTCTCCCTGTTCTCACAGGTTTCACTGAAAGTAGTGGGAGCCATTGGCTCCTGCTGCTGTCAGTCAAATCGTATAGGAGGGAGTGGAGAGTGTAGTCGAGGCATGCTGTGTATGTCTATGGACTCACACAGCCCAGCTTGGGAGTTTTGCTCAGCTTTAAAGATTAGATTTAAAAAATGGTTACAGCATTGATCCCTGTGTTATACAACGTTTGACCTTGGCCTATTCTCAATTTCAGAAACAGCTATTATAAGGAGCAGCACTGAGTACGTGAACAGAATAAAAATATGTTCTATCAATAGCACTTACTATACAATTTTAAAATTAGCAGCTTATAAAAATGAATAATTTTAGTATGACAGGACCAACCTTTCACTAATAACCTTTTTGTTGTCACTTCCAGTCTGCAGCCTCTTGTATATAGCCTTCCAGGCACGGGAGGTATGGCACAATTGGAGCTATTTGTATTGATGTTTGTTTTCTGATGCACTTTATGCCTGGATCTTCTCCTTGATTCAATGAATGTATTGATATGATACTTGTAGCTTAGAGTCTGCTTTTGTCTAGCAATATGAATGTGAGAGCCTGTGTTTGTACTACCTTGTATTGTGTTTTTATTTAATGCCTCCTTTCACAAATATATGAAAATGCTACCTGTTTAAAGTGCTGCTTATTATTCATAATATCTTACCACGACTAAAGCCTTTAGGAAATAAAGAATTACTTGGCCAATGTCCTCTGGCACCCAAGTTTAAGATACTAAAGCTCACCCCCTAATTTTAATACTGGGACTACAACAAAAAGCAAACACTTACGTAAAAGACATGCAAAATGTAAGAAAAAATATTTAATAAAAAACAATTAGGACCCATTCACAATTGTGTAGTGTGGTACAATGTGTGGAATCACGATGCACTCTAACATGCCTAAGTGCAATGCAGTAACATTTATTCCTAAAGGCACCCCAACACATACTGTGTGTTTTGGTGTCACAAAAAATTCTGCAGCTGTGCTTTTCTATGCATTCTGGTACACTGCACCCGATTCAAATGAATCAGCTGCTGTAATGCAATGCTTATTAATGTGAGACATAATGTGAGTGCTTCAGTGCAGTGTAGTGGTGTGAATGGGCCCTTGGGTTAACAAATGTAATTATAACTACATCCCACAAAGTACTGAGGGTGTCAGGCTCTTTCCCATGCATGATGTTGCTGCTCTTATTGGCTACCCCCAGTTGGAGGGGGGTGTTGAGTGATGGGGGGCAGGGGGGGGCAGGGTGACAGTAGGAGTATGAGGATGATTGATGATTGAAGATTGACGAGGATACAGAGTGATAACAGAGAAAACGTGTGAGTGACTGTGGGGAAGGGGGTGAAGATTAGCAGGGAGTAGTGTAAGAGGATGGAAGAATGAGAGGAGAGGGTGCATAGAAGTGATTGGAGAGGGGGGAGTTTGTTAGAAGGAGAGGATGGGGTTGACAGTAGGGGAGCAGTATTGCTGGAAGTGGTGATGCTCTGCAGAGGAGGGGCATGGAGATAAGAGCAAGGTAGTGCTGATGGAAGGGAAGGAAGGGGAAGGTTGTACAGGGATGCGAAAGAGTATCAGTGCCTCAGCCAGAACAGACTCTGTTAACTCTGTATCTTGCATTGCTTATTCAGCCAGAGGTGCTGAGCCCACTTTTATATACTCCATGGCTTTCATTAATTGCAGAGAATCTTGACTGCAGCAATGAGGTGCTGCCATTCACAAAAAAGTACACTTTCAAAGTGGCCAACAATAAATAAATAAATTAATTAATTAATAAATAATCTGCTTGACTATTAGGTTAAAGCCTGGTAAACACGATGAGAATATCAGACGAATGATCATGCATTTTTTTTTTTATTTGCACGCTAGTCTCATAAAAAATGAAGAGGATACTAACGTTATGAAAATTCTTATACAACAGAATACAACTTCAGATCGGAAGTGATGTATAACAAAAACTCAAAAATTGTGCTGCGCTTTCTCCTTAAAATACTAATATTCCCAAAATTAAATGTATCATCAAATTACCCACACAACTGTGCATATATCTGTTCAATATGACAAAAAAAAATGAACATAAAAAAACGAAAAAATATTTTATCAAGTGAAAGTTCCAAAAAAAGTATAGTCCTTATAAATTTTTTCTCCAATCAATATAGTGCCACCAATTATTGAATATCCAATACATCTGCTCAAATCTTCTCTCAAGTTGTGCACCTGCACCAACACACCCGATGTGCTCTCACGTGGAGCTTTTGACCTCACGTATATAATGTTTGGTAAAATGGCGATTGTGTCCCTTTAATTGGACTTAGTAAAGATGTTCTCCTGGATAATGATTCACTCTTGCGGGCAGATCGAATCCTCTGTGTACAACCTCCTCCTTCTACCTCCACCGCTCTTTTCTGTTGTGAAGAAATAGCTCCTTGTTTTCACCATCTCCACACGGATTCCTAATTAGGATTAGATTAGGAATCCATGTGGAGATGGTGAAACAATCAGAAACAAAAAAGAGCGGTGGAGGTAGAAGGCGGAGGTTGTACACAGAGGATTCGATCTACCCACAAGAGTGAATCGTTATCCAGGAGACATCTTTACAAAGTCCAATTAAAGGGACAAAAGCGCTATTTGACCAAACATTATATATGTGAGGTCAAAAGCTCCAGGGGAGAACACATCGGGTGTGTTGGTGGAGGTGCAAAAATTGAGAGAAGATTTGAGCAGATGTATTGGATATTCAATAATTGGTGGCAGTACATTGATTGCAGAAATAATAAATAAGGACTACACTTTTTTTTAGAACTTTCATTTGTTTAAAATATTTTTATTTTATGTTCATTTTTTTTTTTCGATGTTCATTTTTTTTGTCATATTGAATGGATTATATACACAGTTGTGAGGTAATTTGATGTCACATATGAGTTTGGGGATATTAGTATTTTAAGGAGAAAGCACAGCACCATATTTGAGTTTTTGTTATATAGCACATGAAATGCATGTGTAAAGTGTGAACAGCTTTCGCGTAGTGGATTAATGAACTATTGGTTAAGAGCTGACTCTGAGCTGCTCGCAACATTTCATTCATTTATTTCGGAAGTGATGTAAGGTGTTGTATTGAATTTTAATGTATTCTTTAGTTTTTTAGCCTGCACGGTCTTGCTCTTCTGATTTTTTTTTAGACGAATACTGAACTGAATAAAATGAAAATTGTACGATATGGTGTTATACGAAAAACAAATTTGTGTTGAGTCATTTCAGACAAAAGCGGTGTACACTAATGATCAGATTATTATACGATCTCTTCTAAAGCAGTATTTTTCGCCCAATTTTCTGATCATGTGTACTGGCCTTAACACAGAGGTTGTGGTTGAATACATTTGCCAATATATAGGAAAACAGCACTGTTGCCCCTATATTTGCAAATGGATGCAAGTAAAACCTCTGTTTTAACCTGAGTAATTTATTTTAAAAATATTTATTTATTCACTTGCCAGTTTGAAAGTGTTCTGAGGACCAGTTAGATACTGTTTTGTATATTTCCCTGTTCATGCACACAACTTTGATTTTTTGCTAGTTTCAAATAGATCAAAGTAGCACAAAGTGTAGACATTATGGGGGGGATTTATTAAAACTGGAGCATTCACAATCTGGTGCAGTTTTCCATGGCATCCAATCAGCTTCTAACTTCAGCTTGTTCAATTAAGCTTTGGCAATAAAACCTGACAGCTAATTGGTTTCTATGCAGAGTTGCACCAGATTTTGCACTCTCCAGTTCTAGTAAATAACTCTGACTGTGTAAGTCTGCAGTTGCCTTGTAAGGGTGATATCCTTAACCTTTGAGGACGATGGGGCTGAGTCCAGGTAAGCCTACTCTCTGTGCATTGCTATATAACCTATATCCCACTTTTAAGACCACACAAAACAGGTTTTAATTGCATAATTTACAAATATATATGGGGAAGCTACACTTCTGCACCAAGACACCACTGATAAGTGTGTCTACTGTCTTAAGTAGTTAAATAGATTTTTTTTTTATGATGGCTAGCTTGAAAGTGTGCTGGGGACCCATTTTGTACTTTTAGGTATATAGACCTGCCCATGTGCACCTTTTCCTTTTTGCTAGTTTCAAACAGATGAGCGCCAGCCCTGTATTTGCTGTCATTCACAAATTCTGCACCCAGTCTGTTTGCGTGTATTCAGGGCAGCAACGCTGAGTGGCCAATTTGGGCAGCGGTATTGTACTTGGCAGTTATAGGCAGGGGTGGACTGACAACTCATGGGGCCCCCGGGGAATAGGGGAGCATGGGGCATCTGTGTCCTTGCCCAAACTCAAAAAAGCCTATGAAAAAGGTACCAGGGGCATCTCATGGGGCCCCCTACTGACCCAGGGCCCTCAGACAGTGCCCGAGTTTCCAAATTGTCAGTTCACCCCTGGTTACAGGTACACTATCCCTGGGGGTGGAAAATCCAAGGTAGAATTGGTATCTTTGAATCTGTGTTTTGCTGACTGAACAGGAATGCAGCCAGCGGCACTGCTATCTACTTATAGTGTGCTGTGCCCAAGAAAGCTGCCTCATTTGTCTATGAGATAGCCATGCTCTGATTGTATACTATATGTAATGGAAAATAAAAATTGCAGCAATTATAAAATATAAGGGAAACATATAGAAACAGGATTAAGCGGATCGATTGACAAAAATATACAACACTTTATTACACTTATTTAAATATTTTAGCGTAACCGAACAATATACACAGGTTGAAATAAGTCAAATCCTATTAAAATCATCTGCTATACATTTTTGCAATAGATCAAATGAGGAAATAAATGTAATATTTATGACAGAGTCTTTAATTTTTATTAGTTTGTTATACAGCAACAAATAATGACAAAATGGTGGTGGACTGTGCAAAATAATAAACACATTATATTACTTATCTGGTGTTGGTTCCAAAATAACCTTTTTACAATGTAATGGGTTTACAATATTAAAATATTGTAATAGGATTTATGTTAGGAGACAAAGGTACGCATTGAATTCTAAGTGTGGATAAAAATGTTTATGACAAGTAATATTTTTGCTTCTTCAAATTAATATAACCAGACTTTTTCCACTACAAGTTTTTCAGATCTTTTCACACAATCACAGGTGAAATAGTTGGAGTTGCTCATGTTAAATATTTTGGGTCGTTTATTCAAGTGGACTTATTTTCTACTATTTTTTTTAATGTTAACCTAATGTATGCTAAGAATTGTGCCAATATAACATTATTATTTAATGTCTCTCCATGAGAACATTGTTCTTCCAAGACAATGCTTTCATTTCTTCAGAGCTCATCTAGTGCCAGAGTCTACCTCTTGGACTAAGATCTGGATCACAGATAACACTGTCATATAAATTATGATGCGTTTATATATGGGCTGCACAGTTGCTAAATGGTTAGCACTTCCACCTGGCAGCACAAGGGTTGTTGGTTCAAATTCCAACCACAGCATCACCTGCCTGGAGTTTGCATGTTCTCCCACTTCTGTGGGTTTTCTCTGGGTACTCTGCTTTCCTCCAACACTCCAAAGACATGCTGGTAGGTTAATTGGCTCCTGTCTAAATTGGCCCTAGTATGTGTATGTATGAATGTGAGTTAGGGACCTTAGATTGTACACTCCGTGAGTGTTAGGGACTGTGTGTGTGTGTAAGCACTGTGTAAATTGACAGCTATATAAGTACTTGTAATAAATAATAAATATGTTCTAGGCAAGCCACTCTCAAACAGGAGCTCCTTGAACTGTTGCTAGATGACTTTGCAGGGGTGGGGATTTGTAAGGTTGGGCATTCTTCCCTCTGATCACCAGTGTAAAGGACATTTTCCCAATTAACTAGTCTTAACAGTGGTTCCCTGAAACCTGAAAATTATTTCAAGGGTTCCTCTGGGGTAAAATGTTTGAGAAAAGCTGTTCTAGGCTGTGTATACATATTGGCTTACACCAATCACTCCTATTCTGCCACCTTTGATTTGTTTCTTGTTACAAAGTTAGAATGTACAGTCTGTGTGAGTGATTGCCTGGGGAAGGAAATGTGTTCTCCTTGCAACAGAAATATGACACTATTCTTCCTGAAGGTGTCTCTCATGCAAACTCCAAGAGACTGTGCTTATCCAAACCACCTGACTTAAGCTCAAGAACTCCTTTTTAATGAATAAAGATGCATTCTGAAAACTATACTACTTGTGTATTGTGACCTGTTGGGAATTTATATAGGCCTAGACGTCCCTAGAAGATGGAAATCTGCTATGGTTCCTCATATCAAAGAACTTTGTTAGTGAGAATAGAATGGGGACTTCCAGAGTAATACCATGGCTTTTCTAGCATAAAATAATTGTAGGCAAAGTAAGTGTTCTGTTTGATTCTCACATAGCCAAGGGCTCCACCAGACCCACGAGACAAACACCCAGTTACTGTTGGATTGAAATGTTAGTTAAGGATGTGATACAGAATACTTCAATACTTGAGCCCAATAGCCACTTATTCTTCTTTGACATATTCAGAAGACATGGATAAAGTCTGCTGGTAGATAAGAAATCCCTAATAAGCACTGGAAGAATCGGTCGAGATGCTTCCTAATCTCTATAGCATAAAATAAGAACAATGTATCATTTTAAAATGTACAGTACTAACTGATCTCTGACTGAAATTCACTTTTGGAGCAGTGTTGTTCCCAGTCATCATTGTCCAAGCTTGTTATATCTTGTGACCAGGTCTCTTGACACTTAGTCATAGCTGAGATCCCAGGGTTTTGTAAAGCCTTATAGATGTTAGAGTGACCTTGTGGCTTTGACTATTATTCTCATAGTATGGGTGAGATGATATGGTGACTAAAAAAAAAAAAATGTCTCTGCGCTCAGGAAAACAAGTGTTGAAACCAATATAAATGTATATCTTAGTGACTGCTGCAATTAAAATGTGTAAATACCAAACACAAAACAAATTTGTATGAAATGTAACCGTGCATGTCACTTAACCATACATTTGAAACTGGTACTGGAAAAAAAAATATATTATGTCTCCTCTTAGTAAAGTGCCATTCTTCAAATGAAACCAGTCCTATAGTTCCACAATAGTATCCCAATACGTGCAAAAAGTGCTAGTGCTCTTAATTAAAATAAAGTGCTCCATTGGACAGTGCTCCTATGCCTCACATAGATGTGAACTTACCCTGTATTATTGACCTCGCGCATGGTCAACTCGCTTGTGGGACAGACCCCTTTATCATCTGTTTCTTTGAATCTCCCGAAACCGTACTGCTTGGGAAGGCATATATTCTCAAAAAAGAAGAGAGGGTCCCATAACATAAGACCGCGCCAGTAATTTTATTAAATAAATAAGCCAAATGATCTTGCATAAAATGGTGCCCTAAGAACCGGCACCCAGTATATTCAGCCTGTGTATAGGTGGCAAGATGGACGCTATTCACATCTGGCCATACACTTTGATGAGCTCCACCGCCCGGAAACCACTTGACTGGAATTGCATCACTAAGCCTCGACTTGTTTCAACCTAATTGGTCATCCTTAGGAAGCTCGGACCAAACCAGTGTCCCTCTTTACCTTCAGAGGTACAGAAACCATATGTCCTATTTTAATAGAGGTCTGCGTGTTCTGGTATAAAATATTAATTCACTTCTTAAATGAGGTGCCAAAATCCATTCTCTGGAGGACAAGGCATATGCAATTCCAATCTACTGATTCATCGGTTTTCACCTATTCTGCTGCCTAGCATGTGGAAGCTAGAAATTAGTAAAAGTCTCCTGATATCAATATTATGGATTCCTGTGGAATAAACTCAGTATGATTAATATCCCCCAGACATCAATTACCTTGGACAAATGGTTGGTGGAATTTTTGTAAGGATTTTCAGATACATGATATTGGCCTGTATGAACGACATTGTAATGGATCTTTGTTTTATGAACGAGGACCACATGCAGTCTGGGAGAGACCCCAGTTCATGACACTGTGTATAGAAGTCACAGAATTGGGGTGAGTTCCTCGCTATCTAATTTATACTAGGGATGCACCAATACCGATACTGATATTCCTGTCCAAATCGCATGCACTTTGCTCACTTCTCCTGTGTGAACCCAGGATTGTCATAGCTTGAATTCACACAGGAGCTGTGTCTGAAATGTCTCTGCAGGGATCCCATGCTGAGTGGAGAGTTGGCATGTGGGGATGTATACTATGGAAGCAGATGGTCCTTATTCTCAGCAGTAGGAGAGGAGAGAAAGCGGTGGGGATTTGAAATCCCCACCGCTCTCTCCCCTCTCCTTACAAGGATGACAGTTTGAGCTAGAGGGCTTTTGATTGGTAAGCACTGCCACATGGAGAGAGAGAAAGCTACAAGGATTTCAAATCCCCAGACCTGTGAAGTGGCTTTCTCTCCTCTCCTTGTAGGGATGACAGTACAAGCTAGACAGTATCTGATTGGTCAGCACCGTCTATGAGATGTTCCTCCTGACTGATCAAAAGCCCTCTAGCTGAACTGTCATCCCTGTAAGGAGAGCAGAGAAAGTGATGAGGATTTCAAATCTGGATTTAGTAATTGGCTCTGGATGTGGGTCTTCCATTCCCTCAGGTAGGGCTAATACCCACACACTATTCCTCTGAAGGCAGTTCTCAGCATCTTCTGCCTACTCAGAAAGTCTTAGCAGATGTCTTTGCAGCTCTTTGATGAGGGTGGTATGTGCAGTCATGATGTCTCCAGCAGCTGATACCAAAGATTCTGCCACTGATAGCTGTTCTTGGAATGTGTCCAAGTCATGACTTAAAACATTACACTCCATTGCCAGCTGATCGATGCACTCCATCAGAGAGGATTTGAAGCCTTCAATGGCTTGAAGGATGACAATGGAACCTGGGGGTAGTGTCAGTTACAGCAAAGGTGGCTGGTCTGGCATATCTAGAATGGTCTGCAAGCTTCTCAGGCAACAAGATGGTAGCTGTAAATATCAAGTTCCAGTTCTGGAGCTATATCATAGAAAGTCTTGCATTTGACAGCCATTATTTCTCGTAAAAGGCTATACAGGGGGATCCCCTATAGTTGAGTAACAAAGTTGGGGTAATCTCAGAGCTATGGATCACTTCAGGGTGATGTCAGGATGGACAGAGCTCTCCCAAGACATGTCCACTCACTCTTATATTGTGGCCATGACCCTTCAAGGAAATAATTAATCTTCAATTTACAGGCAGTGGCAGGTACATCTGTTCACACTACTGTGAAAAAATTAGTATAAATAGGATGCAGGTTATGTTTTCCATGGCAATCTAGCACAGATATTCTTAGCAACATCAAGTTACTGATACCCTTACAATCATTACCCTTAACCACTGAGCAACACCATTTGATCAGTGCTAGAAAAACCACATATGCACCATCCAAGTCCTTCTTATTGCCCTTGGCT